AGGTACAGAAATTGAATAAAGTAATGAAATGTAAAACAGCATTGCATATTTCACTGTATGAGTGAATTCTTTGTTGTTGCTGTTTGATTAATAGTGCTGTCACTTTAAGAGAATGCACTGATACAGTACGTTCAGCCGGCTATGTCGGCATTTTGACAATTTTTGTGTGAATTTGTCCATTTAAACACAATACTTCAGAGAGAGTTTAATATTTGTGCGTGTTCTGAGGCGCGGGTTTGCGCGCTTCAGATGAGTGCCCGCACAAATCTCCTCACTGAGCGCGTGAGCTCGCGTCCTCTGGCTCTTAAATATTTAAACTGGCAAAGCTTAAACAAGTTTAGTTTAAACACAGATATCAACGTGTGCTGTTCAGGTTTCACCTGTGCGCGCGCGCTATCAGCACCCAGGTGATGACGTAATAAATGACTGCTCATATTCCAGCATACGGCATTTGCATTGAACAAGAGTGAATGGTTTGTCCCCTTCTTTTTTTTTTTTTCATCGCTGTTGTTGTAATGTACTGGGAAGCCAGAATGCGCATCCATCAACAGAAACATACATTAGCAGAACCCTGTTTGTTTTACGTGTTATTTATAGCAAACCATATTACAGATGCGTTGTCAGATTAAAGTTGAACCGCGACCCTAGCGCATGCCGAACCGTGTGTGGAGAACCGTACGGTTCGATTTTTTCCGCGAACCGTTCCACCCCTACTTGCCTTATATCTTTTTTGGGGAGTCTATGCCACATGTGCAGATTTTTAGTATAAGGGGATGTGAAGCCTTATAAATAAATAAAATCATGCATACATACATACCTACGAACAAACAAACATACAAACAACTGACCCTATGTCTTTTTGGGGAGTCTAGGCCATGTGCACATATTTGTAGTGAAGGGGTTATGTGAAGCAATAAAAAACAAACAAACAGACAGACAGACAAACAAACAGACATAAATAAACAAAACAATAAATACAAACAAATAAACAAACATACAAATAACTGACCCTATGTCTTTTGAGGGAGTCTAGGCCATGAGAACATATTTGTAGTAAAGGGGTAATGTGAAGCAACTAAAAAACAGACAGACTAACAAGCATAAACAAACAAACAAACAAACAAATAAATAAATACAAACAACCAACCTTATTTCTTTTTAGGAAGTCTAGGCTATGTGCACATATTTGTAGTGAAGAGGTTACGTGAAGCAAATAAAATGTAAACAAAAAAAGTAACAAAAATTACTTTTTTTTTTTTTTTGGAGTCTAGGCCATGTGCACAGATTTGTTGTAGTGCAAGTCTGAATAATAGGAAGGCCAAACAGCTACAGCAAGATACTGCATCAGCCAATAATGATAGTGATGGGTAGGGTTTTATGTAAGCTTCTGGAACATATGCATCTACTCTATTTAAAGTCCTATTTGCACGTTTCTTGTCTAAGTGGATATAAATGAATATTTATAAAGTACCTTTTGGGTTTCAGCTGCCAGTTGCTGAAGGGAAGGTGATGCTATGGCCTGCAGGGATCCAGGGGCTCTGACAGGATTGTGCAGGCTTACATAAGCCACTGCCCTGCTCTGAAGAACCACTGCATTGTCCTGTACAGACACACAAAACACAGCCGTCTACTGCCAACTGATGATATGTCTGGGCCTTGACTGGTATTTTGGCATCAAAGCCTGAGTAACCCCCAATGAGACACTGCAATTTTGTTAAATGAGCATTGTGAATAATTTGAACCATTATTGTCTTTCTCATACTCAAAAGCTATCATTTTACTGTGACATTATTAGGGGCTTCTTCAGATTAATGATGACGTTTGCATTGTACTGATTAGAATAAACTCCTTTGCCGAACAGAATAATGTTATTAACACTCCAAAATCATCCATCTGTCTGATTGAATCTTCATGGCTTGCTGATCATGTTAGCAAGCTTTTGTACGGCTGCTCAAGGCTAATCTGTACTATTTTTGTTTTTCCTCCATCGCTTTAGTTGTCAAACTGAGGAAGAGAAAAAGGGATGTGCTTTTGACCTACTACTAAACTCAACTTTGAGGTTGCGACCCTACACATCGTTGACAGAGATTTCTATAAACTAATATTTATCATGTATTAGACAAATTCAAGCATATTTTTTAAATCTACATCTAAAATATGCAGCTTATATATGTAAATTGTAGGCTATAATGTGACCTGGATGTCGCATAGGGGTCGTATAAAATGCACATGCTCATTTGTCTTGCTCCTACATGAATTCCATGTTGAAATTTGTTTAAGGATGCTTAAATAAGAAATACTCCAAACTCCAAAAACAAACTTGTACATACAATTTATTACAGTGTCTAGCTGAAATTAACACTAGAGGCAGTAAAAGACAGTAAAACAACTTTTATGTAAATTATGATTACAGTGGCATACTATTGATTAAGAAATACTTATTTTGCATGGTTCCTTGTACATTTAACACTTTTACCTCAAAATGCTTTTTGCATCACACAACCAGCTCCACATATATAAGGCTTTTTTGACATAGTAAACTTGCTCAGAATTCTCATCCGGTACAGCACTGCACTTGTTAAGCGAAGCAGTTGGGTCAAGAACAGTGAAACATAAGTCTCAATAAAAGCGCTCAAGGACTTGTACAAGCAAGCTAAAGTGGCAAAAATGTGTTTTTATCTCCCGTTTGCTTCTGTTAACACTATTGGTTAGGATTAGTGTAGGCAGTACATTATTTTCAAATGTGATAAAGCATTAACCTTTTTGGCCACTCACCAGACATTTCCTAACTGTGATACCAGCAACAACCAACATAAAACACTGACTGAATGGTAATTGGTTTTGGTTAAAACCGACTGTGCTTTTAACGTCACTTTGAATGTTTTGCAAAATGTACAAGCAATGTAATATTATTTAGCAGAAATGTCACCACAGGCACGTTTTTCCAATGAGCCTGGACTGAAATAGTCAAATATTACCTTCCCCCACTCAAAGGAGCCGATGTTGCCCAGTGAGGTTCCCCCCCAGGAGCAGAAGACGATGGTGCGGTCGGGCTGCCAGCCCGCACGGGTTTGAGCCGTCATGGAGGCGATGATCTGAGACATGACTGCAGAGCTTTTCCCCCAGTCCGCCAACGCACCCTCGTACCAGCTGCCATGACGACTGCCAACCAGTACATATCGATCTACAAGGGGAAACAGAGCGGGAACACTTACACACAAAACAAGAAATAAACAAACACTCACACACCAACAAACATGTTCACACAGGTGGAGGGTCAATCAACTGCAGGGTAAAGCTACCGTATGAAAACTAGGAGGATCTTTGTCTTTTTAAATTCATATTTTAAATTGATTTCCTGCCATCTGGAACCTAATATTACATATAGAATAAATGAAAAACACATTTTAAGAGAAAACTGTTAATTCGTTAACTTTACCACACTGTAAAAAGAATGTAGTAATGTTCAATTAAGTTGCATTTTCTACCTAATCCGGCCATTAAATTGAGTTTTGCTAGTGTAACCTAATGTATTTGTGACAGCATGTATGACTCAAATAAAACCAATTAAAATATTGGGAAAAATGTACAGTAGTAAAAAGTAAAATGCTTGAATTACAAAAACTTATGGATAAAATGTATATTATTATTAACAAAGTAATATTTACAATTTTACTGTAAAATATATATATAAAATTTAAATAAAAAAAAGCATGAATTATGATAATTTATAGAGAAAGGGGTAGCTTTCCCTGAAATTCCCACATCAACAATTACAACAAAATATTTTTTGCCTAAAACCCTGTAAACCTTGTAACATCAGCACTGTATTTTTATGGTAAAGTTCTGGTAAGGGCTGCTGATAATTATTATTTATTTTTTTACAAAACACGTATTCTATCAAACATTTATTATTTTTGCTATTTACTCAAGTGATCACATATTAGTAGGTCTAATCATGTCATAGTGATAATTATTGCACTACAGTTCAAAAGTTTGCGTTCATATATATATATATATATACAGTATATATATGATTATTAGCGCTTTGGGTTAAGAAAAGCGCATAATAAATAAAATGCATTATTATTATTATTATTTTATGGTGAATGGTGCCTTGATTCAGCTCAATTTCAGTGTAACGTTAGTACCCTTTGGTAAAGCGGAGTGAGGTATGTCAAGTTGACGTATGTTATGTTTTGTAGTTAATTTCAAAGTCATATGAGCTCGTTTGTATGTATATGTTAATCGTGTGCTCTGCTTGTTAATTAGTGGTTTCAAACTGTCTTTATTAATTTCATCGTTTATTTTTCATCTGCATGCCAAAGGGCAGCTACAACATTTGCTAGAATGTTGTTTGTTGATGTTTCCTCTACGTTCAACACAATGAATCCTTTTTTTTAGCGAAGAAACTTGTATGTGAATTTGATGCGAGTCACGGTTTGGTTTTATGGATTTTAGATTTTTTTGACATGTAGGCAGCAAATAGTCATTTTGAATGGAGTGTTTGTCAAAAACGCTTGTTACGTCAATTGGATCTCCTCAGGAATGCGTACTGTCTTCAATTCTCGTTATACTATATACAAATGAATGTCGCAGCACTAAGGATAATTGTCATGTAGTTAAATATGCTGATGAGACAGTTTTTCTATCTTTGTTTTACAAGTGCAGAATGTGATGACAGTAATGATCACAATGAGTTATTTGAGTGGTGCAAAGAAGCTGAATTACAACTGAATATTACTAAAACGAAAGTGATGGTAATTGATTTTAGAAAAAACGCCTCAAGGGTGAAACCTGTGTATTTTTATGGAAAAGAAGTTGAAAGGGTAGAGGAGTATAAGTATCTTGGAACTATCTTTGATACTACTTTAAAGTTCCAGCAGAACACAGAGGCCATTATTAAGAAAGTGCATCAAAGAATGTACGTTCTTAGGAAATTGAACTCTTTCTGTGTACAAAAACACATACTGAGAACTTTTTATACCACCTTTATTGAGAGTATCTTGAGTTTTTCTTTTTTATGCACTCATCACTCTCTCTTAGGAACAAGGATCGTTTGCAGACCTTAGTTCTTCTCAGTACTCAAAAATTATTGGTGTGCCTTTGCGGAGTCTAGCAGAATTCTACGAGCAACAAATGTTACGGAAAACTCTTAGTATTACGTATATATATATATATATTTATATATATATATATATATATAAAATATAACAAGGAACCATTAAATTAATCAAAAGTGACAGTAAAGATTTTTATAATGTGTAGTATTTATATTTATACACAAAATTTCTATTTCAAATAAATGCTTCCACAAAAAAATGAACCAGCTGTTTTCAGCATTGATAATAATAATTATAAAAAAAGGTCTTGAGCATCAAGTCAGCATATTAGAATGATTTCTGTAGAATGGCTGCTGAAAAGTCAGCTTTGTGATCACAGGAATAAATTAGATTTTAAAATATATTAAACTAGAATAATTATTTTATAAGGTAATAATCTTTCACAATATTACTCTCTTTCCTGTATTTTTCCGATCAAATAAATGCAGCCTTGAGCATGAGCATGAGAGACTTGTTTTAAAAACCTCAAATCTGTGTGCAGTGTACATACATACTGTATGAGTTATACTTTCTCTAGATTTGCACACATTCTACCTTCACGCACACAAACATACAGACCAGAAAAGAAACAATTTCTCATGCAATTAGCCGCGGGCTATAAGCAGCACTGGGCCACCTCTGACTGACAGCTAGTGAGGGTAGAAACAGACTCAACAAGCTGACAAGAGCAAAGAACTAAAGAATACTATAACCAACCTGTACTCAGGAGTACCTCTGCGGTCTTAAGGGAAGTTATTAAAATGACATCAAAATGATAAATAAACAAGACAGTCTGCCAGATAAATGAAAGGTAAACATGTTATAAAAAGACAAACGTCAAGGAGAAGAACGCCTCTGCATGATTTGTGATACGTAATTAGTGGCTGGGCGACCAATTATGACAGGAAAAGAGTGCCGTAAATCTGGAAAGTAAATCAAGGAGGGCTTAAATGCATAGACACAGTGACTTTTACAGTCATAGGGGCGGGGGTGAAAGATTAAACGCTTTCATTACATCAGACGTGCGATTAAATCATCCTGAAGGTGAAAATAGTGGTCCGTAATTAAAAGCCTATTTTCAGCAGCCAAGTGACCTGCATTTGGACAGTGGCGGCAGACGTTGTTTTAAGAGATTAGTTTGTCATGGCGCTGGGAGGAAAAAGGGCTGCTTCAGCACGTGGGCTCAGATTCGGCTTTATTCGCCCCCTGGACTCACGCTTTTTCAGCGGATGAAGGAAAGAATGCTTAGATTGCACTCTTGTTTTGCTCTGCTATCATGAATACAATAAAGCACTGTGACAAAGCACTGTGTCTTTGTTATGTCAGACCAAAGAGCGCAGCGGTTTAGGACCATGCCTGGGACACGCTGGCAATATCATGCAGTTAAAATGAGAGTGATTTGTTATTTAAATGAAATAATCTAGCATTAACTATGACAAAAAGCCCTTTGGGTTTGTAAAATGATAATTCGGGTTACAAATGCGCTGTCTTGGTTTTGTGCTGACCTACCTGGATTGGTCTTGCCCTTGAGATATCCAATAACATTGTGCACAGTCTTGAAGGATGCCTGGTTTTCAATGGTGAGATTTATTAGTTTTCTTGCTGAGGAACAAACAGAAATTCCAAGCGAATTAGTCAAGGTTATGGGACATTGACATCCAAAAGTTCAAATCCAGCTACAAGAAAAAAAGGAAAAGAGGTTGAGTCTTCAATCAATCAAAAAGAACAGAAAAGGAAAATTTGTAAAATATTGGTACTAAATCCAACAATACATATATTTAAATTCTAAAATGTATATAATCAATGGAAGTACCATTTAATATTTAACAACAACAACAACATAATAATAATAATACAGTACATTTCAATTATTCAATTAAATTGTCAGAATTTCAAATAAATTAATAAATTATTCTTATTATTAGCAGTATTATTAAACCAATTATTTAAATGATAAAAATTTCACATATTTTTAAACAAAAATTCAAATATTATAACTATTCAACTAAATTCTCAAAAACAATTTATTAGATGTAAAAAATATATTAGATGTATGTGTGTAGATACATAGATAGATAGATAGATAGATATCTCATAATAATCACATGCTAAAATAAAATAAAAAGTTAGAACATACATGCTTATTGTTCCTGAGGTTCACTAAGTAACTGCCCATTTTTTGATCTAATGGCATCTCTTTTAATTATTAATTACCCCCTCTTTTTTTCCTGTGCTGCTTTTTTTTTTTTTTTTTTTTTAACCATTTAGATACATATACATCTTATAGTACAGTATATTGATGTGATCACTGATCATATTGCCCAGTAGCAGCTTTCCATTGACTTTGGGCCCTGACTTTCCATTTGGAATATCCCTTACAAATTTTTGGCTTATCCTTCCCTATTAAATACCCTCCTATTATATGTACAGAAACTATAAGACAAAGAGCAGATATCCTTTGCTTTCACCATTCGTTTGTGTGTTGCAGAGAAAGTGTACACCATCAGAGTAGCTTAAAAAGGTGCCGCCACTGTTCGGCTCACACTCTTACCAATTACACATACAGGCTCAATGTGATGGAGTGAATATCAATGAGGCTGATATCCCAGCAGATAAAAAGAAGAAGCACCTGGTCCTGGTACACAACCCTAGCCACTTTGTCTCCCACTCGCTCTGTCTCACTCTTACAGCGACATCGTTGAGCCAACATGGAGATGTAAAAATCCTGCAGCGGCCAAGCTTCTGGTTTAAGACAGAGATGGAATTAAAAATTCCTTTTCATGAAAGCCTCGGGATCGCAGGCAGATGTGTGTGATGTACACAGTAAGAGTTTTTTATTTGTTCCTGGATATGTGAATATCAGGAAATAAAGATGAAGTTTGGTACCTCAGACGTAAGACGTAAACCCTGCTGATGTGTACAGATGTGTTTTTTTTTACTCTTTGCGAGTAATCAAATTCACTCTAAAAATTCAGTGGGCTTCACACAGCCCCACAAACCCCATTTATCACCCCTGACAACAGCACAAATGACTTTGGGTAAAGAGTAGAAGAAGTATATGCAGTTGTAAGGGAGTGTTTAAAAGTGCTGGCGTGAACACGGGTCGCGCGGTGTGACAGATTTGCCCATTAATCATCAATAGGTATGAGAGGTTACCGGCTATTGAGAGAGGTGAGAGCCTCTGCGTGAGCAAAGTGAAAAAGTGATCTTGTAGGAAAAGAATGAAGTCGTCGTCAGCTGCAGGGGCTCATGTTTTATAAACGACCCTGAATAAGATGTTCCTTAGAAGTATATACTGTATAAAAAATAGGAGCACATATGCGATGAAGACCACGATCCACAGACCAGAGAAGAAGATTCACAACCAGGGTGAACACGCACACCAGGGCCTACTTAAGGGTATTGAGAATATATTTCAAATTTGTTAAACCTATAAAGCAGAAAATCGAGCAATGCAATATACCAAGCGCAGCGCAAATTAGCGTAGTCGCAAATAAAGAATAAAGAAATAAAGAAGCCACAGTACATTGAAAAGAACTGGAGGCCAAAAAATGAAAGGTTGCAAGAAGTTTTGATAGACCTGGTATTGCATGTCTCCTAGTTGAGGGTTCCAAGTCGTCTTTTATTTCCTGAAGCAAATTAAAAATAACATGGCTGGGCAAACAATATGTTTGGATAATGTGTTCTTTAGGCATTCCAAATAAATTAATATGTGTGGAAAAATCCTCATCCTTCTATGCGCTCTCTGATCTCTGCGGTGCCTCCTCCTAGCAAAAACAATTGCAGCCATTACAAGCTCAAAATAATTTGACCAGTAATTTGACGAGCGCAAACGTTAGTAAATTCATTTTAATACTCTCCTCCCATAAATTTTGCGTCTGAATAGGAAACTCTTACAAATGCATATTCAGTAATGTCAGGTGCAAATATAACTGTGTCCATGCCTTTCAGCGCTGGTACACATTTTAGTAAATCCTGACAGTACTATTTTATGTCAAAAGACAGTTTGCACAGGCGCAAGCTGTTAGTAAAACTGGCCCCAAATCTGTTAACTAGCCCATCAGACTCAGTTAAAGCCAGCGTAACCGGCCCTCTATCACTAGCCCTAAATCTAACATAAATCTAACAATATGACCTTCTATCAAAACCAGCAAACAAAAAGTGAATAATTATTATTAAAGCGCAAAATTGTTTTACCATTATTTCATGCCATATTTCATATCACAAAGCCATCATTCAGCATTCAGAGCACTGCATGAGTGTGTTTTATTTCTCATGAGGTGGGAAATGGACCGATATAGGACGGGTTACCTACGCACCGCAATCAATAGCGTCATAATTAAAGGAGCGGGTGTGTTTCGATAAAGCTATTCCACACAGTTTTCTGCCAGTGAGCTATAATTGCATAGAAATTTATTATACTATGAGTTTTCATCTGGAGCGCAGCGAGGAGGGAAACACGAGCCCACAGACGTTCATAGAAAGTACTAATGTATTTGGACCCTATCTCAATTTGATTTCTTTATGGTGAATAAATGGATAATGGATCTGGCCGCCTGATCCACGGGAACAAAACACACACTCACACACAATAATGAATGAATGCCATTCAGGACTACGTCGAAACATTTAAGATCTTTTCAAAGCCATTGACAATGAATTACCAGTCTCCTAAACACAGGCAGTAAAATGCAAGGAGAAGTGGGAAAGTTTGGCGCTCACATACGTACTTTTGCGGCTAATGTCTCATTTCCCTGGCAGGGAGACATTTTGGTGCAATTAGAACACATTTTAGTCATACAGTGAGCCTTAATTGAAAGGGAATGGAATGAAAGAGGGGAGACAGATGGAAACAAATGATTTGAAACCTCTGGAGTGGTCAAAGCTCGGCCCAATCAATAGAGCACAGATTACTAGCTTCAGAGCGTTTGATCCGGTTAATGGAAGAGAGGTGCAGGCTTGGGACCGGCCTGGAGCGGGTCACGGCTGGGAGCTTTCAAACTGTGAAGAGAACGGGAGGGGTGGGAGAGTGCCGGGGGAGAGGCATCCCTGCAGGTTTTCAGCAGACATTGATTGCTGGACATTGGGCTGGTGACAGAAGAAAGGTTGTAGCGGCCCATGTTCCAGTGAGTCATCAAAACAGAGGTTAGTTCATCAAAATAACAACAATATGTTTGTCCGATTACATACTAGCTTTCTGATTATCATTAGAGACTATTAGCAAATAGAAAGAGAGTGTACTGTAATAGCACAAACATGCAGACAAACAACTTGCCTAATCTGTGCCCTCTGAGTTCAGTGCACTCAAAACATAAGCAAACACATCACTGGCAAATTGCTCAAAGTGGGTGCCTGGACAAAAATACATATTAAAATGTATAAATGTACTGACAGATTCTCTCGGTTTCAAGCACACAGGACCCTCATCAGACAGTTAAAACACTCCAAAACAGCCCTTCCAAATAATTAACAAACATCACATGATGCACTTGCACATGACACAAACACACACACACACACACACACACATACATACATACATACATATCAAGACCACAAGTAAAAAAAAGTATCCTAAAGGTACCAACATGCCATCAGGACACTCGGGCACAAAAGCAACAAAATATAAATATACTAAATGTGAATATACTAAATGTGAAGTCAAAATCTATACACAAATTTTATTTTAAAATGCGAGTCGAAACAATTCCTGCACAGCACAAAGAGAATACATCCGAAACTCAAATTTAAAACTTCAAGAAATGGATGGATATTGGAGTCACTAATGTATCTAAGATATGAGCTCATGACATTTTAATCTATTAAAGGGATAGTTCACCCAAATATTAAAATTCTGTCATTAATTACTCACCCTCATGTCGTTCCAAACCTGTAAGACCTTTGTTCATCTTTGGAACACAAATTAAGATATTTTTGATGAAATCCAAGAGCTTTCTAACCCTGCATAGGTAGTACAGGTAGGCCCAGAAAGGTAGTAATGACATCGTTAAAATAGTCCATGTGACATCAGTGGTTTAACCTCAATGTTATGAAGCTACGAGAATACTTTTTGTGTGCAAAAGACAACACAAATAATAACTTTATTCAACAATTTCCTCTCTTCGGTGTCATTTTTCGATGCGTGTTCACGAGAGTACCACAGCGCATACGTGTGATGCTGCTGACGCAGGAGAATACTGTTCACCACACAAAGCCGATATGAATAATATGAATATGAATATATGACATGAATTCTGAAGCCATGGAGTATGTACATATGCAGCAATTTTATGATGCTTTTATGGTGTTTTTGCATTTGTAAGCTTGAAAGTCCCAATTCATTGTGGGGAAAGAAAAAAAAACAGAACAGGGCTGCGTTTGACAAAAGCATCGTAAGCTTAAGCACATCGTACACGCATTGAAACCAATGGAGCTACGATCAACTTAGGCTTACAATGCTTTTGAGAAACGCAGCCCAGAACTTTCTTAAAATTTCTTCTCAAGTTCCAAAGAAGAAAGAAAGTCATACTGGTTGGGAAGGACATGAGTAAATGAGTAAATGATGAGTAGTTTGCATTTATTGTTGAACTAATTCTTTAATG